GAGAAAGTGAACTTCTCGAAGAACGCGATTTTTCTCTTCTTCGGTCGATAGTGTGATTTTTGTGTGTCGATAAAGAAGTTTCTAAATAATTTTTTAACTTTACAAAAGATGTACGTATACGAAATTTTTCGTTCGTATAAAGTGCACGTGTGTTTCTGATTTCAAGGATACACTTCGGTAAAATGTATTACGAGAATTGTGTCATACACGTCGAACAATCCTCTGCTGTATGGTTAAAGGGTTAACGTAGAGGGATTTGGAGTAAACGGACGGCGATCGATTAAAACATAACGGAATTAGCTGATTTATTTGGAAAAAATCCTCGCTCACAGTCGGAAAAAGGATATCCATTCAGTCTGTTGAGACGGGCTGCGGCGTCCCATAGTACAATCAACATTCACCTGGTGCACCTACCTGCACGCACATAATTGAGAGAAGAGTGGCGAGTCTACTACATAAATATACGAATATTGAAGCGGCGCGAGGACGAACGACAATATAATAATTGTTCTCGTTACAAGTAAAAACACGATCTCGTTTCTCTCTATCTCTCTTTTCTTCTCTTTCATACACTTTCGTATTTGTTTTCGTTTCTTTCACAATTGATACAATTCTGCGCTCGATTACCTTTACACAATTCTTTCTCGGTTTATCTGATCGTTCGCTATTTGCTAGCCGTTACGTATTAATTAATACATAAATACGTGGATCTATCGTTCGATCGAAGCACGAGATAAAATATCGAAAGGTAATAAAACACAACAAGGGCAAGTATAATTAGTGTACAATAGAATTTTTTTTTCTTCATTTTCTTTCGTTTGAACGACAGTCGATATAAAGGAAAAAAAAAAAAACAACAACCATACTTCGACAGACATTGGTCGATCTTCCTCCGTGACATGGAAACGCGCTGACATCGATCGGGGATCACCTAATCGCGAAATTCTTACTGATACGTCGATCAGTCGATTCAAACCATCGCGACTAACACGAAAAACATTTTCACTGAACAATATGGTCGCGGTATATTTATAATCGATTATATTACAATTAAATTCACTAATCGATAACATTTCAACAGAGAGGAATTACTAGCTAACGACAAATGCGTTGCTTGAAAGAAAAAAGAAAAATGATTTCATTCGTCGACGATATTTTCGATCGTTTCAAGCAACCCTTTCAACCCCATATACTTTAATATAATTTCATCACACGCGATTCAAAGCACCAATCTTATAAAGAAAACAAGAAGAAACAAAACTCAGAATCCAAAGAATTCCTATTAACACGTCTAATCTTAACAATTACTTTGACTAAATAAATCAAACTCTCTCAAACGAAACAACATGAGAATAAACTATCTAAAAAGCAAACAGGGAATTAAGAACATCCCGTTTCTTGGCCGATCCGAAATTCCATCGAAACTATCCCCAGCGATTTTCCACGCCACGCGGCAATCCTACGTGAACTTACAGCCTGCGGTTGCCTATTTACAAAGTGTCCTTACTTCTACTATAAACGTTCCTTTTATTTACTTCATTTTTCTCAACGTACGCTACACGCGTACTCGTCCATCGTCCATACTCTCTCTCTCTCTCTCTCTCTCTATTCTCTCTTTGTTCCTCGAAATAATTCTCGACTAGCATCGTCACTCGTTACAGTCACACAACACGTTACAATTCCATTTTGTCCCTCGTCTCCTCCGTCTCTTTCTGCGTTTTTTCGTTTCTCAATTTGCAGTTTCCTCCTTTTCTTTTTTCTTTTCGTTTGTACAGAAGCGGATCGCGTGCTCTCGTCGCGACGCCCTTCTAAGTCGTCGAGAGGACCAGGACACGCTAATTAGAGAGGAACCCGTGGTAATTAAGCTGTCGGTGGCGGACGATCGGTGCCACCGGAAGTTCGCGACAACTGGGTTAAGGCGACGCGACAAGTGGGACGAGAAGTGGAGAGGTCCTGTGCTTGTTCGAGGAACTTGGAACGACGGGGACATGTATATATATCTTCTTCCTGTTCGACTCGCGTTCCAACCTGATTTTTTAATCTTCGAGGAGAAATTTCAAGGAAGAATTCGAAGCGTATAAGAGGAATCGAGGAGGAGGAGGATAGGGAGAAAGGTGAAGAGCGAGGAAGAAGCGGCGTGTTTTCATTGATGTTCGTCGATATTTTCAAACGCGTTTTCTTCGACGTAATCAGGATGTAGGAAGTGCACGATGGAAGAACTAGTCGAACATTCCTGGCAACGAAGTGTGAAGAAACTGGTTCAATTTCGCACGCGTCTGTTCCAATGCGCGCGATCCACGTTTCTCCGTGAAATTCTTTCTTTTGTTGCTCGGTGATACGTAGCTCCCGTTTAGAATTTCGTTTTCTTGAAAATTCAGGAGGATCGATTAACGTGCCAAAAAAAAACAAATATCCATGATTTTCAGGGATTCCTTGTTGATCCTAGAATCCTTTATCGTAAATGAGACACTCACTACAGATGTATCGAATAATCCGCGAGAAATGTGGAAACTCCAGGATCAACCGTGGGTCTCGTAAACAATTTTACAGATATTAATAAAATTCCCAATTGAATATCCTCCATGAATATTCACGATTTAATACCATTATCCTGAAACGTGTTCCGGCTACAGCTACACGTACGTATACCTTGACAAACTTGAATTTTCCAACGAAAGAGAGAAAAAGATGGAGAAGAAGAAATATCACTTCGGTCGCTGTCTGATAACACGCGTCATCGACCTGCACACGTCGTTTCCCGTTTCCTCGAGGCACATGCTCGTTCCGTTTCATGCATCGCTGATGCATCTTTATTTCCTTCATCCGCGTTCTGCTTATTTTCTGAGCGTCGAGAAACGGTGACACGGCTACCATTTTCTTTCTCCTCCTTCTCCTCCTCGTCGTCCTTTATCGCGGTGATTTTCGTGAATATTCAAAAATCGCGTGACCAAAACGTCCCCCAGCTTATAATAAATTGCACACGCGGCACCGTTACCACCCGTGACTCATTGCACCTTTATCGATTCCAAGCTCCTTCGAGGCAACGATTCCCCTCGGGGCTGCTGTTAAACTTATTTCACTTGAAAAGAAACATTCCACGTTTCTCTCGCTTTTTTTTTCTTCTCTTCGTTCCGTACAATTTTTCAAAGAAACGAACCACCGAATTTTTCTAGCACGTTCCTAAATAAAAGCAAATATTTCAACAGACAAATACAACAGAGGAAACGTTTAAAGAACACGTTCGATGGTATTGTACTAGGAATACAAATTTCTACGTTGCACAATTGTTCACTTTGATATGCAAATTTGGTACGAAAGGGTGTTACAATCTTCGTTCCCTAGCGGAGAGAGCGCTTCCGATTCGGCTAGAACTTCCGTCAGAGGAGGTCGTTGTTCCGGCTAACGAGCTCTCGTGTCCACCGTTCGCTGCAAACCACGATTTCCGGTCTCGTGTTGCTCCCCTTCACCCATTTCTCTCTGCTTAACATCGATCTGTGCGCAGCAATAAATAACCAGTCGAATTGCCTCGTCTGTCTTTCCTGTGCTGCGAAAGAGCTCGCATTTCGAAGCTCGTCTAGCCGGAAATAAAAAAGCTACAATACGCGTTTTTCTTCTTTTTTTCTATCTCCTTCTGTCTTCACTTCGTCCACAACGACAAAGAGCCTTCCACCGACTTCTTGCTGCTCTGAGAACTGTTTTATAGCCACTTCATCTTCAACAATGATAATATTGTCTCTTCCGTAGTTTCTCGTTGAAATTCGTTCAATCTGCACTCTTCTTTAATTGTCCTTCCTTCGCGACGGAGGAACTCGAGGAAACGAGAGTTCTCCGTCGCCGATTATTTGGATTCTCGCGAATGGACAGGCGTGGGGAAGAACCGTTTCTTCGCCGTGGAAAGAAAAAAAAATGGGAAAGATAGTTCGGGAAGTTTGATTTTTACCAAGTTTCTTCGACTGCGCCGGAAACGAAGAAGGGGCGACCTACGAGAACACGAGATTCAGGTCCTCCGAAAACGAGACAACTTTCACGGTGAAAAGAACCGTGTACCGATCTAATTAATAATCCTTCGATAGGCTAATTAAATATCTCGTCATAGTCCAGACACGATATTTTCCAAGACCAGGAACCATCGTTTGTAAACGACGAATTTTAACTATTTAAAAAAAAGAAGGAACTAAATAGTTCGATATAATATTTCAACTAACCGTTAGGTAACGAACAATTTTTCTACCGACAGGTTCCCCATACACGGCGACAAGAAAATATCGTGCACAATGGCGGTCGATAAGAGCCGCTCGCGCCGGAAGTCCACACGTCCAAAGGGATCTCTCGTTACGGATAAAAAGTATACACTGGCAAGAAACACGAACACCCACCGTTTTGAGCTGGTATTCCCTCGGGAAATATCAATTTTCCTCTGGAGAAAATTTCGAAAAAGACAAAACAAAGAAATTCACGTAAACACTATAATAATTGTAACACGAAAAAAAACAACAAAGAAAGGATGTTACAATATTCTATGTCCTCGAGATACACATGTATCGACGATCGAACCAAGCTCAAAACGATCGATTCAGCCATTCTACTCCCCTCTAGAACATGATACAACACGAGTATACAATACAGATTCACGTGTACACACGTACGATACAGGTTAGCTTAATCAGGGTGAGGGTAATAGGTGGAGCTGTTATCACATGATTTTACAAAAAGTTCTACCCGTCAGGAAGAAGCCACGACGTTCTCTAATTACATACTCTCTCTCTCTCTCTGTACTCGTTTACAAGGTATAAAGGTGCAAAAAACTGGAGAGGCACGATCATCGCCGTAGGGACCACCCCCCAAAAAGGTCCACCTCGAATTCTACGAAACGCGAAACTACGACTTTACTAACACGATTAAATCGACAAATGATAAATCCCACGTGACAAAAGATTTTTCTCTACTTGGAACTATCTTCTACCAATGGATGGGCAACGAGCGATCCATCTCTTGCCGCTCTTCAACTTCAACGTCCAATCGGTTTGTTTCACTGTTTCGTCAAGTCTCGATAGTATTCATGGGGACTCTCTCATACTTATTAATATCCAGCCTCTATATGTTCGTCTCCTTCTTGACCCGTGCATCGCGTCAGCGTTATTAATAAAATTCGACGTCATCGTTATCAGCAATGAAGTCGTTCTACAATGATCCAGCAACATCTTTATCGCGCGACTCCTTCTTGGACCGTGACTATTCCTCGTGACAATAAAGGGACACGTTGATACACTCTGGGCCTTGTCTCGTGCAAAGGAAAAAAAAAGCTTCTCCGAGGAAGGAACATTCCGTGGCGGCGAATTTTGGCAAAATAGAGCTTCTCTGTAGAGCGGCGAAGAAGCACTTTGTTTCGTTGTCGTCACTGACTTTTCCGCTGAGCAAACGCGACAGCGTAATTTCCAACATTCCTCCGATTCTCCATTGACAAGAAAAAAGCAGCCAGTGGTTGGTTTAGGATGATAGAGTATTACCTGAATCCCACTGTTCTCCAAAACGAAGACTGTAATACATATACATCTTCGAGCTCCTCGTGAAAAATCTGGTTCTCCGAAACGACGAACGGAGTGCGTGCCTGTGTATACCTGATCGATTTTTTTTCTTTTTTTAGTTAAAACACCGAACTAGCGTTCGAAACGGCGACGCTAGCTCGATCGTCGTGAACGAGGTTTTTGCTTTTTTCGAGTAATCTGTTTTTTTTTTTTTGTTTTTTTGTATAGTCCGCGTGAACGCGTTCACTCGAGCACCTCGTGGACGTCGCCATTGCAGCACGACGAAGAGGACGAGGAAGAAGACACCGTGGAAGGCGTGGCTGTATCCAAAGGAGAGACTGTGCGCGACTTACAATATCAGAAGACGCACGAGCAGTCCTCCGCGGCCCTGGCCTACCTGGCCCGTTTCCTGTTCAGCTTCGCGAGCTTACGTCGCTTCAGGATCAACTGGTACAGGGTGTCCAGTCCTTCGTGAAGGCCCTCACCTGTGATCGCACAGGCTGGCTGCACTCTGATGCATGCCAGTTCCAGGACGCCTAGGTGCTTCTCCAGTTCCCCTACCTCTTTGGCACCTGTAGACATTAGGTCGAACAGCTTTGTCAGTTGGGTTGAATCGGGATTCGATGATCGGAGGAGAAGTGGAGCTTCTTGGTTGACGAGGAATGACGAAGAATTCTTTTTGATGGTTTGGAAATTTTGTCGAAATTCAAGATGGTCCATCAGTGAAGGATCTTTCGAGATTGTGAAGATTTGAGGAGAGCTGGAGCTTCTTGGTTGACGAGGAATGGTGAAGAATTTTCTTTGATGGTTTAGAAATTTTGTTGAAATTGAAGGTGGTCCATTAGTGAAGGATTTTTGGGGATTGTGAAGATTCTACGATAGGACGTTGGAAAATTCTCTTGGAGGTCTAATTATTCCTAGGTAAAGGTGACAGGTGTACACCTGTGTATAACAAACGGCATGTACGACACGTGTTACACAATGGCTACGTTTACGTAACATAAGAAAAAGCATAAAGCGCTGTTATAAAAGCTGATAATCTCTGGAGGGGGAATGATGTAACTTTCTTTGATCAGATTTTTTCTCCCGAGACCATTAGCGACGACGTGTCGAGGAAATCAAGCTCTTGTTACTTCATACGGAGCGCGATCTGTAATCTAAACATGCCCCGCTATAAATTGCGGTCAAGTGCATTCATAGTCTTTCTAAGCGAAGCCATACGGTTAAACCGATACGCCGCTGTTTTCTCGGCCACTTGTTCCTACACTCTTAAGTCTTCCAAAGCGATCCTATTTTTCTCACTTTTCTTCATCTAAGTATAGAAACCATTTATACCAGACCGAACATCTGAGCTGCGGCTAGCAGAATCGTTAAACCGCGTGTGTGCAGAAACTGCACTTAAAGACCGTGTACGAATCGTTAAACTGGACTCTTTCAACTTTTAACCCCTTAAGCGCTTGTCAAATCTTGCAAAAATGAACAATACAGGATAAATCGATATGAAATATCACGCAGATGAATTTTAAATTACCACGCGACAAACTTCAATCAGAACTTAAAGGGTTAATTATCGTTAAGCGTGGACTGAAATTTAATCCTTCGAATTATCTCCGAACGTAGATCACACATTTTTCTTCACTTTATCGCTCGACGCGAAGAGCACAAGTGAATGGAAAGAAAAAAAAAATGAACGAGGGAACTTGGATATCAGAAAATTTGCCTACAAAAGCGGTACAGAGGATAAGTTCGATATTATGTCACCGAGAATGGTCTGGTTTCTAAAAGGGGCCACATGGTTCCCTTCCCCATAAACGAGTCTAAACGCATGCATACATGCATGTGGGACAGCGTTACCTGGCAGATCCTGTTTGTTAGCCAGGATCAGAATGGGCACTCCGGCGTTATCCGGGCTCCTAGCCGTCCTGGTCAGCTCCATCTTCGCCTCCTCGAGCCGTTCCGCGTCGCAGGAGTCGACCACGAAGATAATACCGTCTGTGCATCGTGTGTACGACTTCCATAATGGTCGTAATTTCTCCTGACCGCCCACATCCCATACGAGAAAATTCACACCTGCGACAGACCACGATGGGAAACCATTTATTCTCCTCTTTCTCTCTATTCGCCCGTAGGGAGAAACTCGGGTGAAAACGAGACCGGTTAATTTTCCGATTAATTTTAGGAAACAACAAAGGGAGAAAACAGCTTGGAGAACAGCCGTTTTTTTTTTTTTTTTGTCACGGCATTATCATCTCGAACGCGCAATGTATTCAATTTTATGTCCACTTAACCGGAGGAAATGAGCCTCTCAGAAAGCTTGCAGCAGCAGAGCGTTCAGGAAGCATCACGCGATTATTTTCCACTCGCGAAACGTGCTTTCTCTAACAACGAACGTAATAATGCAAAACACGGCCTGGATGGGACAGAAAACAGGAAGCTCCTTGGTATAATTTTCATTTCTTCGAGAGATCGATGCTAACGGGTTTCTGGAACAACGCGCGCAGAGGACTTATTTCCTCGGCACGTACGTGATAATTATAATAACCGTTCCTGTTAAGTGTTATCTCGGCCGTGTAATGATTACGTGTTCAGTCGCGATATTTGCACGTCTCGAGAGCACAGTGGACCGCGACATTGCGTGCTGTGATCGAAAACACGTGAAATTCGCGTCACGGTCGTTCAACGTGTCAAGTTCCGCGGCTTCGCTTCAGTTTCGGGCGTTTGAACTCGGAGAGACGATATCTTTGATCATTTTTTCGTATACAGGAATGATTGTTGGAAGGAGAAGGATGGTTATTAATCTTCGACAAGAACGAGATTAAGAATATTGTCCTAGATAAGACACTTTTTAAGGAGATTTAATTCTTCGCTAAAATTTAGGTTTGCCAAGTTTTACAACGCAATAACAGAGGACAAAGTGTAGATTAACCCTTTGGCTACTAAAATTTTCCCGGAGTAACAGGATCAAATGAAAATTTACGAGGGAAATGACACACTTTTACGAATAGAATAATTCGAAAGACCTTCTGTAACAGCTTTCAGCTGACAATTTTTCTCAAGATATAACTTATCCAATTTTTATACCACAATAAAGTCCCATCCTCTATACCTAACTTTATCTTACACCTATCGTACACAGAATGACTCTCAAGTTCGTACCGTACCATTTGAAAAAAGAGTACAATCGAATCATTAAAAAAAAAAAAAAAAAATACACAATATTTATCCCACAATATAAAAATCTCTCCCACTACTTCATCGAAAAAGGAAACTATTTATATCTCATTATGTCCCCCATCGTACCAAAGAAATTTCGTAAGGAAAATTTTTTCCGAGTACTTCGACAGAAGACATTAAGATAATCTGTCTCTATGGAGACATACAGTGAACTCTACTTAACGAAGAAAATTTACCTTTCGCTTTCCCGATGCCACCACGGATTCTCTCGCAGTTGAAGCCAATGGTGGGCACGGTGTTTAGGTACTGGTCGAACTTGAGCCGATACAACGCTGTGGTTTTCCCAGCGCTGTCCAGCCCTAGCATAGCCACATGGAGCGGCGTTCCTGTGGGAAGTGCCTCGAGGAAGCCGCCGCTCGTCCCGCTCCTGCCCATCCCGGCACCCATTCCTCTCCCCTTCACCAGCTTCTTCCACCTTATCCTCCACCACTTTCTACACCACTTTCCCTCTCTAACCCTCCCTCGCCTTCTTCCCTTTATCTCTTCTCATTTAGCCTCTTTTTTTCCTTTCGATCTCTCGATCGTCTATATCACAGACACTATTTTTATCACTTTCTCTCTCTCTCTTTCTGTATAAATTTTCCCGATGTCCTTCTTAGTTATCAAATTTTCTTCTTTCTTCGGACAAGTTTCTTCTCCCCCCTTCCCCCTGTTTCCTACTTCATCCTGGATTTACCTGACATTAAGGACCCTCTTTCTTTCCCTCCTTCCTTCCTTCCTTCCAAGTCTCTTTTACGATCCTCCAGCTGAGTCTGGAGCCGGCTTCACTCCATGCTGACTGGTAAACCTGCCGTCTAGTTTTCGATGTTTCTCCCCTGCGCGAGAGGCCTCGTCCTGCTCGTTTTTCCCCTCCTGCTGGCTCACTCACCACGGGTGGCTCCTCGGTTGCTCTGTGCCTTTCGTGCCTGCGGGCCAAAGTCGACGACAACGAGAGAGAAAGAGAGACACACAGGGAGGCTCTCCTCCGCTTTCGATGCTCGTCCCCGCCGTAAAAGGACTCGCTTCGAGGCCACGATCACTACCGCACCGGCTGAAAATGAAAGGAGAAACGTGTTAGCGATGCCCGACGGCTATACCGTACACGCGATTTTCAGACGATCTCTAAAGGGCTACGTATATACGCGATCCAGATCTCTATCGATCGACGTGCCTCAGATTTGTGTCAAGTATCGAACATCACCGGTACACGTTCAGACGGAATCGTGAGATATTGGTTCGGTTGAAATTGCGATATTAAAGTGTAGCATTGTTAGAATCTTTAAGATTTCGAATGCTGAACTAATTTTCAGGGAGGAGCTCTCTGAGAATTGGTTCTAGAGATAAACGAGGGAAGTACGATGAGATGGTTTCGGAAGAATTGAGGAGAATTTTATCCTATTTGGGGTTCTCGATTCATTTTTTTAAAGATTGGCTAAGATTGTTTAAGAAGCAAAGAATTCACTCCAAGATTCCTGCTTTGAGTACATTTTTGAAAAATCACTGCAAATATTCTAAAAAATTTGAGAAATAAGGAACTGCAGTCTTTCAACGAACAATCAACAAAGACAATATTCGAAAAACGAAGAAAGAACATCGTCCGTATCAGAATCTACGAAAAATAAAAGGGACAAAGCAAGAGGAGAAGATTTTCTGCAACTTACTAAGAGCAGCCAGACGAGATAACGAGCACAGCACTAGTTTCATTTAATAACCGCACACGCTATCTAAATGACGGTGATCCGCAGTAATTAAACCGCGATGAATCGCTGCAGATGAGACATTTTCATCGCTGAATTAATTCCACGCAAATGATACAGACTTGCGTTCATTTTCAGATCGGTGAAAACGTTTAACGTGTTTATTCAACGGTATCTGGTATCTGGAGAAACTTTCGAACGATCCGCAAAGAGAATTCCTTTCTTTTATCCCCACAATCACACGGGATAAAAATAAATTTTAAATCAAACAGTCGAAATCATTCGATACTTTTCGTTCAAAAAACTGTGAAATAATCAGTCAACTTCTAAACAAGAATATAAATTGCAACGAAAAGGGTTAAACTATAGCTGCAATCGAGAAACGAAACAGCGATTAATTGTTCTAGATAACGGTCGATTAATAGTACAATTTAAGAGAAGCATATTCTCAGGGATAGTGTGTTGAATAAAAAATGTCGAGAGAATCATTAACCAGTGCGCATGCAAATCCGCCGACTGAATATTCCAGTTCTGCGAGGCTCGATTAATCTCTCCCTCCTCTCGCAAACTTTATGGATAACACAACGGTTACAGGCTGCAGAGAATTCTGGGCCTGGGCTATTAAACGTGGTTTAACTAATCGTTATAAAGATGACATTTGTCTCTTCCTTGATTCTCTCCCGGAAATTTTCGGACGAGCCTCGTGAAACATTTTACGCGTAATTCTAAATTTATTATAATATCACCCCAACTTCGATACAGCCAAAATGACTATTCTTTACGTTCTCAAACTGTCTCCATAATTCGACAAACTTTACCTTCCTCGAAAACAACCTTATTTTCAAATCCCCGCTACAATGCTACAAATTCAATAGCGGCAATTTCAATAGCGATACTTGCACGAAAAATCCCCGGAAAACCGTGCACCGTGGACAGGTATATCGCCAGGCGTATAAAACTCGATCGGCTATACTTCTGTCACAATGAGCCCCGCGGAGAAAATCCGCAACAACCGTGAAAAAGCCACTGTGCGTCCCGATAAATCGCGGACAATGGTAGGTGTATCCTCTGTCTAAATGTTGGTCGACCGGCTGGAAATAATGGTAATCGTAAATTACGTTAACAGAAATAACGAGAAGACGGAGAGGGGAGTAACGCGGCACGAGCCTGTTTTCCACCGTTTCAAACCGCCCACTATGGAATCACGGGCGATGATGATGATGCTGATGGTCTCGTTTTATCCGCCCGGTTAAACAGCTCGACGACTGGTACAGCCGGCTATTTTTAAGCGAAATAAAGCGTGCAAGAACCGGTGTTCAGAACGAGAATTAAAAGTCTAAGCTACTCACAGTCCTCCAACAGCCACCCTTCGGCTCTCCCTGCTCTCTGCGAAAGGTAGAAATAGTTTAACCCAGGTTACGATCGCTCGTTTCGATACCAGACGACTTTTTTCAGATTGTAGAGAGAGAGAAGGTGGTGGCGCGATTTTTCCACGGAAAAATTGTGTTCGACGGGGGAATTGGAATTGAATTCGATTCCTTCTGTAGCCTTTTTCGCCATTTTTACGGGACCCTTGTAGGTGTAGTTCGGTGTTAAATCGAGCAACGTTAGAAGTTCAAGTTTACGTCGTACGAAGACAAATTTTTCCAGCGTGTAGAGAAATGGATTTTCGCGTGAAAGTTTGTTAAAATGTTTTCTTCGCGATACCTAGGTAAATCTCCTCCACGTTCGTCCGGATTTTTACCGCTTCCTGTTTTTCTCGGCTTTTTTCTTTTCCGTCTTTGCCCCAAAGTCAAATATCTAAAATCGAATAGGTTTTGGCAGCTTAAATATTTACCCCTCATCTCTTCTTTTTTTTTATTATATGGAAAACTTGAATTCTCTTTGTGGAGATGTTTCAGATGAAACGAAAAAAGAAATTCATTCTAATTTTCCCAGATTACTCAGATAGAAATTAAATCGTACTTCTAATTTTTTACATGGCAATTAAATCGTATTTCTAATTTTTTACATGGAAATATGAAATATTAGAAATAATTATAACAATGTATATACATATGAAAATAAACGTTTCAGTATTTAACAACACGAAGAAGGGAGCCACGCTACAGCGGCGTGTAGAAGCTGCAGAATTAACAAACGAAATACAATAACAATTACGAAATGAAATATTCAATAGCACAGAGGGAAAGTTCTATGGAAAATTTCCATGGAAAAAGGACGACAATACTTTCGTATCGGGGCAACAATCGAAATTGGATAGACGAAAGCTGAAACGTTTAACCACATATGAATCGCGGCCCGTTCTGTCAGTCCCTTCCGGTCTATTGTTCCGGTCTTCCGGTGTCTAGCGCGCTGCTGCGTTTTTCGCCAAGTTAGGTGAATCCTTTATTCTTATTTCCGTCACGATCGCTTCCACGCTTCGAACTTCCGTGTTCACCGTGATTCGATCGTTCGATTTCCGTGTGTATACACGCAAACAATAGGGAGAAGAACAATCGATTCGAAGCGACGAGAAAATATCATCGTCCTCCTCTTCCGGACGATAGAGATAATCGTGTCTGATAATAAACGTAATTATTCATTTCGCTTTTCTTCTCCTTTCTACCGGAGGGCTCATCTTCACCCGCCATTGTCCCTCCCAGGATTTACGTTCTCTACGCCAATGACAGTACCGTGTAGGAGACCACTTTTGTTCTAACTTCCTAACGAATCCGGTGCAATTACTTCTTCAGCGGTTGTTTGCCTATTTAATTCTATGTGATTTCAATGCGTGTAATTTTGCAGCTTGGTGCACGCTTCCGGGAATAACAGTAGAGATCGGAGGGATAAAAATGAGGGTACGACGCGTGAAGATGAACTGCCGGATCAGGAAGAGTAATTAATCGTTCGCTTTACTTTTGCTACTTGTACAATATTCTTTGCAATTTTTATGCTTCTTCGAAAATTACCAACGATTTCACGTTGTTTCGGAATAATTTCAATTGTTTCAATTAAAACTGGGAATACAGAAGAGGATTTAACTTCTGGATGAGGATATCGATGTTGGATTATCTTTCGTAGGGGGATTAAAATAATTTCCTGGGGGCTGAGCATTGTAATTGGATTAAAGTCTGAGCTGTATAATTGGTACACCAGAATTTGACTATTCTTTAGGAAAATTCTTATCTTTTTTCTTCGAATCAATTTAAAAAGTTGATATCTGTGGAATATTTTTGGCAAAATTGTTTTCTAGGGTTTCGACTGCTGAAATTTCGATTATTTTTCAGAATTGAAGTATCGAACAATGTTTAACAGTGTCTATCGTACCTTTCTTTTCTAAAGAAAGGGTTCTGAAGAACGTAATTACGCGGCGCTCCTCCTCGACTCTTAAATTCTCCTCGCGGACAGTTCGCGCTAGACGAAACTCGTAATCCAAACGTGTCCAAACGAATTTAAGACTTCTCGGCATAAGGTAAGACTACAAGGAACACAAGTCGCAGATAGCTAAGTCAATAAACCGCAAAGACAAACACCTGATATGTACTTTGTCCAGTTTGGTGGAGAATATCGTTTAAATGCAATGGAAGTTTACCTGTGTTTTTCTGAATTTCAAAAATTCAGGCAGAATTGTAAATATTATACTGTCTCGCAACGTAAATTTAAGTAAATTAGGTTGAACTGCACAGAAAAAACAAACGGACACAGCATAACGTGTAGTTATAATTGTTATGACATGTAAATAGAACGATAAATTTAGTGTAAATATAGAAAACGTATAATATAATTTATTTCATGGTATTGTAACAAGCAAACGTTGAATAAATTCCTAAATCGTATTAAAAAAATCATTTAACACAATAATTTCAGCTTTATTATGATTATTCTTGATAAATGACCACAGGTCAACTTGATTTTTAATCGTTATAACCGTTAAATTCAGTGTGAATAGAGAAAATGTGGAATATAATTCATTTCACGATACTATACCAAACAAACGTTGAATACATACAAATGTAACGATAGAAATTATTGCAATAATGCGTAATGCAATTGAAAAATTGAAAGAATCAAAAGAAAAAACGCGAATTC